CCCTTTATTAGAAATCGATTTTCGCTTAATAAAGTTTAAAGAGATGAAAAACCAAATAAAAAAACTAGCATTTAAAGAAACATATAATTGCACAAAACCAATCAAAAATAAATACATGCAAGAAATCCAGCACAATTCTGTATTATATATCTATCTATTCATTTGCTAATTCTTTCCAACATACATAATTTCTTATTTCGGAAATAAAAAAAAAGAATTGGACGAATTGCGCGAAATCCTCCATGCAATCATAATTTCTAAAATAATATAAGGAATTTATTTCGGTAATTTGGTAACGCAATTCATTAATAGTATGCCAAGTGGTATACCAAAAGATTCTATATCCTTAGATAAATATATTACTGATGAACTAATAAAGAGATTGGGCGTTATCGATACTAATTTTGCTAAACTTCTAAGAATAATTCTCAAATAATTAATACGGTCAAAAAGTTATCTCAGCATAAATGCTCTAATTGTGGTAGGACTGACCATAACTCTCGTAAGTGTCCTAGAAAAAAGAAGAAACTTTGAAAAATTAAATCTATATTAAACATAACATATGGGAGGTTTGCTAGGAAAAGAAAGGTCTTGGTATAACACATAGTCTCAGAACCTCTTTTTCCTAGCAAATCTTCCATGCTGGTCCATTTTTATGACGCGTGTCTTGGTATTTTTCGAGATATTCATACTTCATTCTCTTAAAGAATATAATACATAGTAATTATTCCTTTTTTGATATATGATATAAATTTCCAACATATTTACACGATTTGTATTCAAATTCATGAAAAAGAGATGTGTCTCTTTCATAATCAAATATTTTATCAGGGACTTTGAATTCTTTGAATTCAACTCACTAATACATTTCTACATTTTTTGAGATTCGTACGTCAGCCATTATATATCGTTATAAATAGATTTTATATCGTTATGAAAAACTCAACCTACAAAGTTGGATATGAAATTGTTAAATTGCTTGTTAACTTGGGACGAGGTCGCCAATTCGTCAAACGTTAAATGATAAAATGGAAGCAATTGGCAAAATATCACTATGGCAAAGATTTTTTTATATTTTCATTATTCTTTAAAGTCTTCCAGATTATCAGAATTATGGTTACAACATTAAAAATTGTTTATAATTCAAGATTTATAGGATGATGAAAGATCTTTAAAACACCCCAATAACATTTATTTATTTATTATACTTAATCATGACTTTGAATATATTAATGCCTAGTTGAAATAAAATTAGTTCATGTAAAAAAATTTTATCGGTTATTATTTAAAAATTAAATTTTATTTTGCAATGGCTTCATTTGCTTGTGCTCAAATCATTTATTAGTTGCCAATAAACAACTCCTGCCTTTGTGGGACATGGAAAATGTACATTTTCTTTACAATTCGGAGATTTGTACCTTGAGATTTAGTTACAATTCGCAATGACCAAATACCAAATAAATCATTTATTTAAATCCTAACTCGCGTATCATTATTTAGTTATCTTTTTGGAAAAAATAAATGTTAAAGAAACGCACGCCTATGTCCACTTAGAAGATTATGCTGATTATGTACTAGTGAAATGTTACATTATTGATTTTTTGCAAGCCAATATACGTCATCGTTTCCAATAATAGTTAGTACATTTAGTACATTAACAAAGTTATAATTCGCCAAGCCACCCTCAAAAAAAAACATTTTTTTTGAGTAATACAGATTATTAAAAGTAAAGGTCAAAAAAAAACTAAAAAAAGTATTTTAGCTCAATTTGGATCACAAGCCTAAATTATTCGCGAAAAAAAAATTTTTTTCTGTTCATTTTATTTATTTCAATAAATATTCCAATCTGGTTTTTCCCCAAAGAACAACCTTTTTTCTTTTTTTGAAATATTGTGTTCGGTGCTTATCAAATTGCTACGCGTCTTTATTTAAATCATTATGGTAATGCCTTGATGCATCTGACTTATTGGATCGAAGAAAAATAAAAATATTTTTTTTCTTTAAAAAAAAAGCTTATTAAATAATTTCCTTTTTAAATGTTTATCGGCAATTCCGCATCGCCAAATATCCCTTTATGAGATTTATTCTGTCGTTGAAATCTTTGTAATGTTATTTTCATATAGATTGATTATATCTCGTTTATTTTTGATTCCAAAAATAGAGTAGATTCAAAATATTTGATTATTAATACAAAATAGTATTGTGTATTTTTTATTGTATGGTATGCAATAAAAAGATGATCCCACAATATATACATACTTGCACTTTATTTTTTTAAATATGATCATTATTCAATCGATTTCCATATCAAGGTATAACAAAAAATTTTTGTTTCATTTCATTTTACTATTAGATTAAAACGGATCATTCCCTTAAGGAAGAATTGTCAAATTTTGCCACTGGTTTAAACAATATAAGAAGCTTGTAAGCTTGTAAGCGCGTGTTGATCTGTAAATAAACAAATTTTGTATGATAACGCGTCGACCTCAACTTATTTGGTTAACAACAATTTTATCTATTTGATCGCCCCAAAAAACGCGTTCCCAAGGCTCATGATTAATAAGGCTCATGATGAATAATCGGCTTCTTATTATTCTTTTTTTCTTTGTTGATGCCTCCATTTGGGAAAATTTTACGCCAAAAGCTTATATCGTACGAATAAAAATTATTATATAATTACTCACCCTTTATAATTGATGTGAATAAATACATACATGTTATATACAGTAAATAAACCTTTAGGAATTGAAAAGATCGTTTCCTTAGTTGGTTTAGACTTACTTGAGGAGAAAGAAATGATTTATGAATCACAATACTTTCGCATTTCATTTTAACAAGATTTCTTTGTGAATAAATCATACATGTATGCTAAGTGGATTTTGAATATAGGCAATTTCATCCGTAATGTCGGCTTAAATTTTCTAAATATATTTTTATTAATCTAATGAATATGAAAAAAAATTATTACGCCTATCTTTACTATTATTAAAAAGAATTTCAATTGCCCAAAAGCGATTACGCCTACATAAGCTTAACATGAAAATAATTTTATTGCATGAAATGCTACGGCTATAATTCTTTATCAGGATTAGATAATAATTACTGTATGCATGGTAATTATGGTCGAGATCATCATAACAATAATTTTATAAATGCGATAAATTTCTCAAAATTTGATTTTTCTAGCAATAATCCCACATAAAAATAAAGCGAAAGTTATATTCCCAATTTTATTATATAATTTTTTATATTCATAAAAAAAAAATCTTTTTAATTATATATTTGGTCGAATTCTTAGTATTAACTAATTTCGATGCAAATAGTTATGTAAAATTCAATAAATCATCAATGTTTGGTTCTGATTTATCGAGAATCGTACATTTACTATCGTTTCTTTGATTGATATATAAATATGACCTTCAAATCGGCTGATTCGTACACGGTAAATTCCGTTGTTTTGTTTGACTTTTTTAACCTTTGATAAAAATATGTTTCAATGAAAATGTAAGTGACGAATCATATTCTTTTGTTGTTGTTTGTTTGATACTTTCAGATTCATAATAAAATAAATAATCATTTATTACTGGTTTTCATTTCTTATGTTTTTTTAAGTACCATTTTTTTACTAAACAAAAATCTTATCAAGAATTTTAAATCAAATAATATGCATTATTTAAATCATAGCGCATATATAATCCATGGAGATTGCCGAATATCAAACATTAGATGATGACTCCGGAACTCTGCCACATGATGACGGAGTAATTTTGAAATTATCATACCAATCAAAAATTAAAAAATATTGCGGTGGAAATACATAATATTTGTTTCCACGTGCATGAAATGGCCTATCAAAAAGAGATTTTCTTACCGTGAATCATCAATTGCACAATCGATGCAAAAGAGAGAATATGTATGGCAGGTGATATACAAATGCATGCATAGATTAATTTACAAGTTAATAATAATTTAATTATCATCTTGTACTTTTAAAGGTTTAAAGGTATTCTATGTTATCGTGGGACTTTTATATACGGACTTTAAATAATTTGTGTATTCTTGAACAAGGAATATTGTCCTTTGCTCATTATGTATTGTCGAACTTAATTGCTCAAGGGTATTTTTCATTTATTTATTTGCTTTTTGAACTGCACAAAGAATTCTTTGTCTTCCAAATCCAATCTCATATCCTTTTTTTGGATATGTACAATTCTAGGTAAAAAAAATGTTATTGAATTATTCCTATTTAGTATAAAAATAAAAAATGAATTCAATTGAAGTTAAACAATTTTCTTTGTGAAGATGTACTGAACAAAAAGGAAATTTTACGATGTTTGCATTGTAAATCTTGACCCTAACCATAATTATTAATGATAATAAAATAAATTAATGTCATAATCTTATAATGCTTAGTATTATTATATGTTATTTGTCACAATTATTATGTATATTTTTTAATAGAATATTGCAAAGAAAAAAAAAGCCCAAATAACATATAAAAATTGATATGAGTATTATTTGTAATACAAATTACGAGTTCGGAATATGCATGCATTATAATTATAAATTATTATTTTTATTATTTATTCACACTTTTTGATTTTTTAACTTAAATTTTTATATCTTAAATTTTATATTACATATGTATATTATCTTAATGGTTTTAATCGAAGGGAAAAAAAGTGTGAATAATTAATTACACGATTTTGACGAATAATATATGCGAAATAATAATAAAAAAAAATAATAATAAATTCTAACAAACAACCATATTTACAACGAAATCGAATTTTACAAGGGGAGGGAGGTTGTTCAAATAAAAAAAATGTATGAAAGGAAGAAAAATTAATAAATCGTAAAAGTTCTATTAAGATAAAATTTCTAAAAAAAAAGGAAACGATTAAAGATATTAAACTAAAGTATTCATTTATCGATTCTGTACAATTATATTCTCATTTTCATTAAACCCTAAAATGTCCGTTTTGATCTTGTATAGTTGATTAATAAGGTTGGGTAAACTGAGGAAATACGTTCCAATCTACCGTGAAATCCACTTGTTCACAAGTAGGAAAAGGGCTCACGGGTGGAGTTAAAGTTGTCGTGGGTATCGGAGGTTGTATAGGTGTTTGTAGTTGTATTTGATCAAACCTTTCAAAAAGCTCGATGCTAATTTGACTAGAAAGGTTTAAAAGTTCCTGCGTCCCAATATTGGAAATATTTTGGGTTTGAATAGCAGGTTGAAAAAATGGCTGTTGTTTATTATCATCATCATCATTGAGTTTTGATCCGTTAGTTAATTTATTTACCAAAGCTTCTAATTTTCCAATTCGATCGTTAAGAAGGTCGATATATTTATCGCTTTGTTCACATCGTTTGCAATAAATATTTGTTTGTTTTATAGGTTTTGGAGTTGTTGTTTTCTTTTTTGGTGTCGGAGGTTTCGTTCTCCTGACCGTCATTATATGGGTTCTTCCGGTCGTGTCAATATGTCCTTCTCTCACTGCAAGAGCTTTTCTCCCCCTTTTCGATTTAACAACAACAGGTTTTTTATCATCAAAAGATTTTGGTGGACTCATTCTGATTTATTTTGGTAGAAAAGTTGGAGTGAAAAAATAGAGCTTATTTCACGGTCATTTATAAGAATTTCTGATGTTTCGCAACTGTTTATTTATGTAGTCATTGTATAATAAATAAGTCTATAAATATATTTGTAGCTTTTTCGAACTTTCTCTTTTCCATTTTTTTTATATATAAAGTATTGTAATTTTTTCGATGATTTCATTCATGACTTTAAATTAATTTATTGTTAAAATCTCTATAAATTTTTAAATATATTTATTGAAATCTAAGCTAAAGGAATAGTTTTTCTGGTATGTCAATATATGACGGTCATGTTTAAAACAAGGGCATTATCGGGTCTTAAAAGAATGCAAAATGTGCGACCGTTACTTTAAACGTTTCGGTCTTTGTTTTCTTTGAAATCAAAGCGGAGTTCATTTCTCCTGGATTCTCGGATTTCGACATAGTAATCCTATAAAAATTTATAATTCCGACAATAAAATAATTAATACGCAAATTTGTTTCAAAATTAGAATATTGTAACATCTTTCCAAATTTATAATAATAATAGTGTGTGTGACATAATTTGAAGTTTTAAAAAAATCAGTACTAATCTTATTTAAGTTATAAATTATCATAATAATTTGAAATTTGCCACATTATTTATAATTTTATTCATTGTCGAACATTTTATAGAATTTTGGCTTAAAAAAAAAAAGTCTTACAAGCATTCAAAATTCCAATATATATATATAATATATATATATTAATGTTGAAATAAACTTCCGATTTTGTATTTAGATAATGATAAATAAATATGTAAGTTGGATATTTAATACAATATATATATTTATATTAATTATTCCAATGAAATCAATCAAAGCTAATACGTTCATCAAAAAAAGGATAATCTTTCTAATCTTTTCTATTGTAGAAATTTTGTAAATATTTATTTTCTTAATAAAAATAAAAAATTCTATTAACCTTGATTAAGTTAGGTTAAAAAGCCAAGGATCCGGAAAATATATTTTACCGAAAAATTTGGCGGATAAAGATCCGGAACATTAAAAATTTTACCAGAAATATTTATCATTTATTTTAAGCTTATACTCTTTTATTATATATAAAATAAATAATTAATAGTTCAAAATATATCCTTCTAATATTATTAAACAACTTTTTAATTATTTTATGAATATAAATTAAAGATATTTAACTTGTTATTACTAATAAAAATCTTATTATTCAGTTAATACAGTTATAAAATAGCTAATTACAAGTATGTGTTATTGTATGAAAGGTAACTGTATAAAGGTCTGACTGTATACAAAAAATTTTACTAGTTATCAATTTTTTCGATTTCAATATATTTATAATCACTTTTTAACCAATAAAATACATTTCCTAAAATTTGATATTTTATGATCTTATTAATACATTTATTCTAAAACCTAATAGAGTTAATATTTTCTTTAAAAGCATATAATAATTTGTCTCAAATATCAAGAAAATTAAGATGTGAGCAATCACATCTTTTACAATTGATCAAATTCCCTCAATTGGTTAAAGTTCACAATAGTAAGATAGAATATAAAACAAATTATACCCATATTTTTTGGCTATTTGAATACACATAAAAGGTATATTAGATTTATTTTATTTCAAAAATTCATAAAGTTTTGCTTTGCTAGGATTTTCTAGAATGTTAATGTCATGCTGATAATAGCCATGTAATTATTATTTTTCTTGATGTTTCTAATATTACTTTGTAAATATTAGCTAATTCATAATATTTTTTAATATTAATATAAGTTTATTAAAAAGATCTTTGAATATTTCAGTTGTAAATTTGTTATAATAATTTATTTTATCTGCTATAATACTAGAATTTTGAATAACACTAGAAATATTATCCCAACTTTTGGTATCTTTTCACTTTCTTCTTCTAAATAAAAGAGGTTTAATAGATAGATTCTATAATAAAACTGAATTAAAAATTATTTTGCTAAAATTTTTATTAGTATTATCATTACATATTATAATAATTACACTAAAAATAATAATTAGAGATCTGTATCTAATTTTATATATAATTTTATGATTTGATATCCAATTATAACAATTATAACCTGTAATATAATATAAGTAACAATAAGACCTATCTAAAAATACCCTCAGCTTAGTTGAAACCTTATTTTCACCTTATAAATTTTCAAACTAATATTACAAATAAATATTATGAAAGGCAATATTTACTAATAATTTATATAATATATTTTATAATTATAATAGTATTCTAATCTATAAAGTAAATAAAGGCGATACTATTTTAAAATTAAATTGTCTATTTTTTTCTTAAATTATGTGTTAAAAGTAAGACATTAGAAATATTTGATAATATAATAAGACTACGAATAAGTTCAATTAGATTATGATTAAACTCATTTTTTAGTTAACCAATTTTTTTGGTAAGGGTTCAGTTTTACTTTTATTATATTTAGCAATTAGTGCAACTATTGCTTCTTTAATACTAAAGACTGTAGTAATCTCCTTGTATAGTAATAAGTTATAATTCAATTTCTAATATTGTCAAATACCTAAAAAATGTTAATGAATGTGAAATATTATTATTTTTCATTGCTAGTTAAAATGTTTTGATTTCATTTAAATTATTCATAAGAAAAATAAAGTAATAAAAATATGATTAAACTTTCAAAGTTAGAAACTATTATAACTATATATATAAGCAGAGTTAGAAAGTACAGTGTTAATACAATGATTTGTACAGTTAGTATAGTTAGTACATTATAATAATTAATATAAATTTAGTACAAGTACAATGGTAATTTTATCTAGTACATACAAAATTCCCAACCCTATATATAAGTTGTACATTCATATAACTGTATTATCAAATCTTGTATTATAGGAAAAATTTGTGTGATGATATTGGATGTATCAATCTTTTTATACCGTTAACAGCTAAATATTCACTATTGAAAAGTCGATCTACAAAGAATTATCAAATGATCTACAAAAGTTACTAGAATTAATTTTATGTCAATCACAAATTAGAAGATCTGCATAATTCTAGATCCATAGGATTCTTAGGATTTATCTGATAAGCCTTATAAGTTGGATAATTGTTATAATACTTATTTTAATTATTTTTATTATTTTTATTATTATTATTATTATTATATTATCTGTTATTATTATTATTATTATTATATTAGCACTTGTAATTAATGTATAAAATCTAAGTTAAAATTTATGTGCACAAATTGATTAATTATTACTAAAATAAGAAAATCATAACATTTTCTTATGTAAAATTACCTTTTTTATACATAATTTATCTATTTTAGTAATAATTTATGCACATTTTATGTTGTGTAATATGTGTACACAAAAAATTAATGTGCACATAGATTTTACACACTACTTGTAATTACAAATGTAATTAGTTTATAACATATCAACTAATTAGCTGTAGCAAATTAATTTTGTATAAATAAAATAACTTTTTGCTTGAGTTGTAAATTAACTCTCTTGCAAGTTCTTATAACTCTATTGCGAGTTTTAGTTTTATTACAAGTTCAAGTAATAAATAAAAAAATCAACTTTAAAAAACAATTACTTTTCCCTTCTACATATTCATCATCTAAGATTTAATTATGTACCACTACACTAACTTGTTTTTAAGTTCATCACTTAGAATAAACAAATTCTTAATATTTTTCCTTAAGTCTCTAAACCTTTAAGTTCATAAAGTCAAGCAAAGTAATTTCAAGGCATTCTGAATATTTGTAAGACATGAGATTCTCTAAGTTGTAAAGTCTAACAATAAGGAATTTATTTATCATAGTAAAGTAATTTAATAAAACACGTGCGATAGAAAGAGAATTATTTTTGATGATAACATGTAGCTTAAAGAATTTTTTTTAAACCTTTAAAATGATTTTTTAAATCTAAAATTTGATTAAACTTAATTAAGTTTAAAAATCTATTAGAAATAATAATGTTATTTGAAACCTATTTTAATATGTAGCTTAAAAATTTAGAAACTATTTCAAAACTTTTAAAATAACTTTTTTTCTAAATTTAAAACTTGATGAAACTTAGGAAAACCTATTAAAAGTTTAGATAAAGATATTTATTATAAACAAATAGTTTAATCTCAAATATTTTGAAACTCAAATTTCTAAAAATGGTTTAGAAAAGTATTTTTAATTCTAATGTTTCAAATTTGTTTCATATTTTATTTAAAATTATTTTATCAATATTAACAGTATGAAAATTTCACTCCTATTCCTCATGTGATAACAATTTACTTTATTCTTGTTAATCAAATCTAAATCTTCTATTTCCTTTGTGAAAGATTTAGTTAATATTATCTATGATCAGTGTTGTCATGAGACGCAGATATAAATATAGACCAGACAAGATCAGACTGTCTGTATCCATATTTGAGATTTTTTTATGTTCGGAACTTTTTATTCACATTAATGTTAAATCTCTTGTTAATTCTGACCAAAAGATATCTAATATCAGTTCATATTCTAACTGTTCTGCGGACACAATCCCGGACATAGACTTTTAGACGTTCTGTATTCACCAAAAATCACCAAAATAACATCTGTATATAATACTACCTATGATGTAAAACAATAACTCCTACAGAGTTTCTGACTTTAGGAAATCCACATCTTATAGGTATCTCAAAAAGCTTAAATTCTTAAACTAACAATACATATCTCTATTTTATTTACAATTTCTTTACAAAATAATAGGAAAATTATAAATGATAAACTGAAATGTATAGCATAATATAGAATATCACATCAAATCCTAGATAGAAAGAAGTAAGTTTATATTTAATATTGATTCTATTATTAAATTTTAGTTCATTATTAACATTAGAACTATTAATATTTTGGGGTTGTTACAGCCTTAATTTTTATATCAATAAAAAACTATCTTATTTATAATAATTCTGCATTACTATTTCTAATGATATGGACCAACTATTTTAAATAAAAATAATGAATATAATAAAAATAATAAAGATAATTCATATAACAAAAAAACAAAAATAACATATATAAAATTATTGAAATAATAAAAATAAGCATAATAGTAATCAGACTTATCAGGTTTATCAGATGATTCAGTAAATCTTAAGAATCCTAAAAATCAGATAAATTAGAAATTATACTGATTTTCTAATTTCATAATCAACATAAAATTAACTTCTGTAGATCGCTTAATAATTATAAAAATCCAAGTTATACAAATTGATAAATTTATTATTAAAATAAGAATATCATAATGATTTCTTATGTAAAATTATTTTTTTTGTATATAATTTATCTATTTTTAGTAATAATTTGTGCATATTTTATGTTGTGTAATATATGTATACAAAAATTAATATTTTACATACTGTCTCATATTAAGTTATTTCAAATAAAATACTGCTTTTAAATACCAACTGAGAAGGTGACTCAGTATTAGAAAAACATCAAAAATATAATATATTTATTAAGACACTTCATTTTTAATTTTTTTTAATGATTATATAAATTTTATGCTTACAATTTTTAAATACAAATTTTTTTAATATACACTACTTTTTGTATCACTAAATATTTTAAAAGTTTTTAAAATAATTTAATTTCAAATTAAGTTTCAATAAAAATTCATGTTTGCATACTAATGAATTACTTTATCATTAATAAAAGTCAAAATTTTTTAATAAAATTATAAAAATTGTAATAATAAAAGTTTTTCTTTATGAATAATTTTATAATATTGAATTTATGATTAATATAGCTAAAAAAACCACCTGTTGGATTTGATATAAATTTATAATAAAATTAGGAGCAGCAACTCCGTAATAACGTATCCAACTATTTATCCTAGCTAAATCATTCAATTGTTGACACCAAAATTTTCCAGGTCAACATAAAATTGAGTCGGGTCCAAGTACCAGAATCAAGAGCGTTTCTAAAGATAGGCGGATTCCAAAATACCCCAACTACTGATTTGCCGTCGGCACGTTACGGGCTCGTCTTCGATGATGCCTCGTCACTAAAAAATGTAAAAATACTTAATAAAAATCTAAAATTCCTAAAATTTTTATCAATTAAACCATTTTTAATAATTACCCGGCCTATCCCAAAACCTGGTTCGGAAGAGATTATAATACGTCTTGCACCGGAATATTAACTTGAGACCTGCCCTGTGCAAGTGTAATAATCAAGAGTTCCACTATAATATTTGCAAAAAAAAACATTTAAATTGATTGCAAAAAAAAACCAATTGCACGATAATCCTACATCATCATAATATTACCTCTGGTTGTCTCCGAACTGTATGCCTTAGTGATAGCGCTGTTTGACGTGTCCAGAGTCTGGCCTAATATTAGAAATAGAAAACAATTAGAACATTTCGAAATCATTGAATAATAAATAGGCTGAGACACATACAATCATACACCGATCAAGTTGTCCAGTTGTATTTCGTGTAGCTCTTAACGAGTAAATTTTAACTCCTAATACGCATCTAAAATATTGTTTTCGTATCCATCGCCTACACTTTCTATCCCAATCATTAAAGCTTTGGGGAACAGCAATTTCGCACATTCCTTTATAATAAGACAAATAAGACAAGGAAATTAGGAAAAAAATCGTGATTAAGGTTACGCAATCCTTAGGTGAATCAGCAGGGTGGACATACTTCATATTATCACATTTGTTGATCATTTTGCCGATCATTTGCCGATCATTTGCCGATCAT